TAGACAATTGAAAAGAAATTGAAAGATAAATGACCAGACAAGAATTTCATTTGTGTTTCAGAAATCTCAGGGATGTTGGCGTGCATGCTATTGGGCCCTGAACGGTGCTGATTTTACACTGTTTTCAATGGGGCTTGAATTAGTGGACTGTACCTTGCATGTCTTGGCCTGCGTGACCGGTACAGAAATAACCGTATCGTTCGGTACCCCCGAACTGTGGGGTAATCACACATATCTTTTTCCTCATCTCACCGTTCCTCCAGGTTCATGGCGTCCGTCACTTCCTGTTTGATGACAATATTATCTGCCGCCATTCTATTCAATGGTTTTGATCCAATGTCACAGGAAAAAAAAGACCAAATTTCTCTGTAAATAAGCCTAGTTGAATTTCAGTTAACACTCAGCCTAATCACAGAGCGCCGTCTGATCTGTATGTCACTGCACTGCACTCAGCTAGCTCGAGCTGGACCAGTGCAGCTTGCTCGCTGACATGATGCATGCCACGCATAGTCAGGATGGTACTCGGCGCAGATTGGCGGAACCAGCGCTAGGAGGGAGAAGCACGTGCTTAACCAATGGCTTATTGGAGAATTCTATACAGCTCTATTTCTCAACGTTAACGCGTTGTATACAATTTCTCGAACACACGAACGCATTCATCCAAAATGGAGGACGATCTGGAGACCCAGCAGGAGCTCGATCCGGTAAGAAAATACACGAAGAGGGTAGCCTTGTAGGTTAATTTGACCATTTGTTTGTTGTACTGTAAGTTTAAACTTTCCTCGATTTTTTACGTCTTATTTTAAAGGAGGACTTGGTAGTTGAAGGCTGCCGAATGCCAGTCAAGATGGCCAATGCAGACGAGTGGCGTAAGTCAAACTTGAATTTGAAAGAGCCCCCTCTATCGGCAGAAGTGATAACTTTTTTATTTGTCTCTATAGTCACCAATACGATATTGTCTTAAAAACTGAGAAAAAAATCATACATGTCGGATAGCTCTTGGCCAGTTAAAATTTATTAGGTTAAATATAACAGCTTTGTTTTAAGCTCCCTTTACCCCATTCCATGTCATTCAATCATGGTAAAAAGCAAAATTGACCTCTACCCTTTTCTCTACTTTTTGGGGGGCTTTAATTGTGTTTTTGTTTTGCTTTTGCTAAGGAAAAGGGGCAAACGTCTAAAAAAATCTGATCCACAATTGTATTTGACATGTGCTTGTTCTTGTTTGAGAAGCTCCATGGTACGAAATTGTTTGGATGTGCGTCAATGAAAAATAACAGCTTCATAGGCTTACACCTCGGTTGTCATTTCATTTTGAAAAACTTCAATCTGAATAGATTCTTGGGGTTTTAACTCAAAATGTATGATTATTCTACGTATACATATACAAACACAGGCATGCCTACTTGAAATTAACTTAATTCACCTAGGTCCCTACCATTGTTTGTACTTTCTTGCTAGGTTCTAAAACTTTTGTCATAAAGAGTATGTTGCATAATCATTCCAAACTTATTCTCATTATCAGAAGGTTAGATGTTTGTGCCGAAAATAATAAAAAGTTTTGTCTTAAAATAACAAACACACACTACCAAAGAAATAAATAAGAATGATTAACTATGCCGAAACTACGAAGGAAATGTGAAGATTGATACGAAAACACCATGCATGGATGTGGTACAGTACTATGCACGCACAGGCCACCAAGACCATGTGTGTGCCACAGTCTTGCCAAAAATCGTCCTCGTGAACCATGACAAAGTATATCAAAATAACCATCAATATAAATGTAATAGAAGAAGCTACAGAGAAAGACCAGGTTTTGTGACAAGTTAGTTGTAGCTTACTTTGATCAGTTTCAAGGCGACACTATGACTTGATGGGGCAGCTACCGTGCTGCCAGCCATGTCATCGCTGTTGTATCTGTGCACAATCTGGAGCCCTGTAGTCTGGCTCCAGACCCGTCTACTCTTGTATTACCTTATCAGCGGCGCGGCGGAAACCAGTATTGTTCATTCCGCACGTATGTGATTCTCCACAGAGCTGTGAAAACTTGGGTGTTCATACAGTACATGTACTTTCGTGTGTGTACGACCTAGCTAGCTATGTCGCGTTGAGGAAGATTCGTTCGATTTCAGTGCATTTTGCAACACGTGTAAGAACCCACTTGTAACCACCTGTCTTTCTTTCGCCAATTGGGGGTGCACTTCAGCTCGGGACTGATATACCGGGAGACAATGTCACGCTGTGCTGGTGGAGCGGACCATTCACAATAAGCATGGGGTGACTGCATGTGCACGCCAAGGACTGTTTCCTGAGCAGTGCAACATTTGGTACATGTAGCTGTGACCACAACGCGTAGTTCACCAGACGTTGTGATTTCTGCCGTTGTAATTTTAGATGATCCTGCCAAGCTTACATTCTCGCTACGATATCACATCTACCCAAATCACATTTCAATTCTTGTTGGCAAAATCACATCCAGGCCGTTCACAGCGTAAAGCCAGATTGGCCTGGGAGAGGTGCTTGATTGACGTAGAAAATACCAGAATGGGTCCTTTTATGATTAACTTCTGTCTCAAGTACTGCTACTTTTATCTTGTAACTTACATTTACTGCCCCTTTTCCTTCTTGACTGAAATGCTCTCTTTGGCCATTCTTCGCAGCATTGGCTGAAATACTGAGTCGAAAGGAGGTAGAGAATCGTCCCTTGTTTTATGTCCACTTCATTGATTGTAAGTAGATCAACTCGAATTGTTGGTAATTTGATGCAGCTGTTAACTAATTTAAGAGTTATCTCTCCAAGATTTGGATAATGCGTGCATTATTGGGCTTTTATTTAAGCACTTAGAGTGACTGGTCAACTGGTTATTCGACCATTTTCACTATTCTTCAGAAAATGAATTCATGGGACGTTGTTGTTATTTGGGTAATTTGAACCTGGCTTCAACTACTTCAAATTACAGCTTAGATTTCATGGAGTTCTCCAATTTTGTTGGGCACCGTTAAAGCTTGTGAAAGCTTTGATGATTTGTATGCAAGTTTTGATAGGATCACCTTTTCTTTCCATTAAAAGTCACATGGATAGATACATTTTGTTCCTTGGTCTTGATCCTCTGGAGCAGCGATGCTTCAAAAACCCCTCCTGTGGTCTCAAACAGAAACAAAACATTGACCCTAAGATCTCAAGATCTGGACAAAACCACTTCAGACAAGGCCTCAAGCCTGAGCGTATCTTATCACAGATAACAAGCGGCTGGACGAATGGGTGGAACGAGACCGCCTGGACCTGGACAAGATGCAGCTGCCCAAGAAGGACGCCAAGACACCGGTCAAAGAAAGCCTCAGTAAAGGAAACTGCTCCTCAAATTCCAGAGCGTCATCACCTGAAAGAGACATGGTAAGATATTTGGGGATTTGTGTACTTGCAAAGTAAGCTTTTAGGAGACCTGAATAAAAAATTCAGTGCCTTGCAGACACAGAAGAATAATCCGCCTCGACTAGAAGTACCTCCTCAACGGTTGAACAGAGCCAGGTGGTCCGTGTACTCAATCGATCGCCATCTTGTTTGGTGCATGTATTCAAGAGTCTGGTTTCTGCCTCACTGTTACCAAAAGCTCTTGCGTGCAAAAAACGTTGGGGAACAGTCTCTTTGCATTACCTGGTATACCGTGCAATAAATCAATGGTGAAACGCCTTCGTTAACCAGGGAAACGTAGTGAGTGTCGCAAGCAGAGTCCCGGTAGCTAGGAAAAGTACGCCCTCTCTTGGTCAAGCCTGAGGCCCGTAAGGTGATGTTCTCGTAACTGGTAACATTGTTCCGATAGAAAGTATCTCCTACATTGTTGTTTCATTTTTGTTGTTGGAAATCCCTTTTCCGAACTATCCTTAGATGCATAATGTAGGAAGTAACCTGTTCTCTGTGTCTGAACTGAACAGGTTAGATTTCAAGATGTTTACATTGGGGAATATTAGCATCATGTTCACAGCCAATGGTTTGCAAGTATCGAAATGTATTTCAGATAGAATTTAAATTGACTATAATAGCAAACAAGGCAGTGGGGAGGGGCATTTGTGCAGGCATTGGTACAATAGACCGACCAAGACCGACCAACATGTTGTAATCTCTCTTTCAAAGCATATGAATATTAAAAGTTACATATCAATGCACTCATAGCAACAATTCAACGCATACAATTCTATAAAAATTACAAAATACTTTACACCAAATTTGAAACTTAAGTAAAAACTCAGGAAAACTTAAAATGCCTTCCCAAAACCCAAAGTTGAAACCAACTCCTGCTTGAAGAAGGTGATGATTAAAACTCGATAATTTGAAGTGATTCCACAACCAGTCATGGAATGGTCACAGAACTCAAAAAGGAAGCATAAATTTTTTTTTTTCTATGCAGACAAATGGCGGAGGAGGACTCGGTGCAGTACAGCGCAACAAGTCGGCCATAGGGCGTAAACGTAAGCTGCCCATGAATGATGCCGGGGCCCCAGCATCGCAGCAACAGGTGACTGGCATCCCGGTCATTGACAACGCTCCCTCGCCAGTCTCCGCCCCGCTGTCGGTTTCCCCAACGCAGCTGTCACAGGGTCAGAGTCTGGTGCCAAGTTTCTCTCAGGTACCGAGCGTCTCTCCCTCTCTTTCTCTAGTCAGGTCAGATCTGAATTCTGTGACAGGACCTGGGGTCCGTAAGCGTCCATTGCCAACTTCAGCCTCTGCACTAGCCTATGGTAGACACAGTAGGAGGATGCTGTTTGGTTTCTGCAAAATCTTTTGTGCTCGCTCACAATTTATTCACTTCAAATAGCCTCTCCCTTTGTGTCTACCAAACTTCAAATAGGCCAATATCTAGAGGACCCAGTAGTAAGCGTAGATTCCTGTCTCCTGCTTCAATTCTACAGTATCAGGTTAAGTTTTAGGATACTTTGACCACAAACCATATCCTTGCCATAGAAGGCAATTTTTTTACGTAGTCGTGATGTTTGAACCAGCAGGGGTAGTTGCACAAGTCATTTTAATCTCTTTTATTCCCTTCCTCCTTCTCTATGCACATTCCAGTCCACGCCGGACTTCTTCTCTCAGACCTCACAGCCAGAGCCGGTGCCGCCCGCCCATGCCCCTCGCCAGACGGGCAGCATGGCCACCGACAAGACCCACGACGACATCATCACCCGGATGAAGAACATCAGCATGATTGAGCTGGGCCGTCACCGCATCCGGCCCTGGTACTTCTCTCCGTACCCCATCGAGCTGACCGTTCTCCCCATCATCTACCTCTGCGAGTTCTGCCTCAAGTACGTCAAGAGCAGAAAGTGCTTGGAGAGGCACAAGGTGGGTCGTTATAATCTGTCTTAACCACCTGCTGCCGGGTGGATTTTTCTTGAGCAAGACAAGATGCCGGATCATTTTCAAGATTTTCCGTTTTTAAAATTCTTCAAAAATTCATCATTTCATTTAATGGCCGTTTATACCCACATGAAGGACTCTTTGGGCACTACTCTAAAGCTGACTGGAAATTCCATCGACTCCTGAATATTTCAGCCAGGCCTGCAGCCTTGGAAAAAGAGCCCAGATTATGCGGTGTTATGTAAGATTCTTTTGTTCCCGAAACTGGAACAGTGCACTGCTGACCTCTTTTCAATAGGGGCCAGATTAGCGTGCAGCGGTGCTGTGTGGCTCATCGCTGCGGTGCTGGAGAGCTTTTGTCCCCGGTGGTAATCCGCTTGCTCTGAATGCCTCAAACCGTGGTATACTGTTTCAAAACAAGGCTGGATTATCTCCACTATTGAGAGCGAAAAAATGTCGGTAATGCCCAGCAGCTCAGTCTTTTGTGCTGAGCACGGTCTTTTGTTATAAGGCCCAACTCTTTTGTCCCAGTTCCGGGCTCCCGGCTCTACATATAAAGCCTATGTACTCGAAAACGGGTCGCCCGGCAGGGAGTGGTTAATGTGCGATGCTAGTTGCATACACCTGTAGGAGTGAAGTTTCTTGGATTGGAATGCAAAGAGTCCCTTATGACTGTCCATATCATACATTTTTGGAGGTCAGTTTAGCAGATGTCACTACACCTTATAAATATTCATGAGCAAATTGTAGCTTTTCATTGGCCGATTTTGCCACACGTTTTGCCCAGATAAAGTCATCCCATAGAGTATCCAACTCGCTGCTGTATGGTACGTTTTTCGAATAGCACCAAAGATTCCCTCTGGGACCTGCCTCATAGACATAATCTGTGACATGTAATCCTAACGGAACCAGTCTGCTGTAGTCCTTGCCAGAAAGGCAGAACTCTGCAGCTCAGGAGCGTATTGTATGTTGACCTTGAATCTGTTATGTTGTCACTTTGCTTGTGTGCATAATTTCCTGAGGTGTAGTACAGTGTTGGGAGGTAGTCAATTTGACCTACACCTCAGGACCAGTGATTCCCACTACTTTCCCTCAAACTGTGTTGTATTTCTATAATATTCTTCATTCAAGTATCATTTGGTATGAAAGCTGTTCAGGAAACATAGTTGTACACCCACACACTGTGAATTTTGGTTCTTTCCTGCGACCACAGTCATATGTTTCAATTTACTAACTCTCTCGTCAAATACCAAACTGTGTAATCTAAAACTTTCCACAAACTGTACTTCCAACCAAATTCCATCGCTTCTTTCGTTGAACTGTTCTAGTTCCTTTCTATTATAATATAGAGCTTTTTTATGTTCCATTGTTCTTTGCTCCATGCAGCGATTGTGGTATATTGCATAATCAGTCAGCAACATCATTCGTGCACATTTCTACTCTGATGCTAGTCCTATGTGGTCGGGTCAAATGCCCGTCCCCCCTTTTGTGCATTGTTACTGTCAGTGGGTTATTGAAATGCAATAAATACTTTTCCTCAGGTCAAGTGTAACTTGAGACACCCCCCAGGCAATGAAATCTACCGTAAGGGCAATATCTCCTTCTTTGAAATTGACGGCCGGAAAAACAAGGTAAAAACTGCAGGCCTTCATCTCGCCAGTCCCAATCAAAGGCAGCCCCCAGAAAATCTTGAATAAGGGATAAAGACTAGACTACATGTAGGTATATAAATTCATTTGCTTGTTTGAGGACCCAGTTTTTGCCTCTTTTCACACCATGCAACAAAACTATTGAAATAATCGAGCAACTGCCACCAAATTCACCCCGTGCAGTGTTCACAGGGTCTTATTTTGTATTTAGAGTGGTGGAACTTGTGGTCGCTGGAGGCCCTTAAGTATATGCAGAAGAAGTATGCTGCTCAGTGCTCTCAAATGCTGTCAAGGGTTGTTAGCACTGTGCTTTCTCCCGACCCCAGATCCTTCCTGAGTGTATAGTGATCACATGCCCAGATCTGTCTCTTAGGGGGATAGTTCAGGGTCCAAGTTTATAAGTTCATAGCACTCTCAAAAAGTTGATATTTTGATAAAACAAAAACAGAAAACCTGCCGCCGTTAATGAAGTAAGCATAGTGCAAAAGGAAGCTGCTCCCAGGAAGAACTAGCAGTTGCTTAATTCAGTGTAACAAATCTGTTATGTGCATGGGGTGCAGTGAAGTATGCTTCGGCAGCAGCATGATTTTCTGCTGTGGTAAGTGCAACCTTTTCAGTGTAATTGTTGAGTATCACTTCAGAATTGGATCTACATTTGAATCCTTCACTGGTTTCCCGTCATTGGAGCATTCCGCTTTCCGTTTTGCTCTTGGCACGCTAGTCATATTCACAAAAGCTCTGCCTGCTAGCCAAGCTGTTCCTAGACCACAAGACGCTGTACTACGACACGGACCCATTTCTCTTCTACGTCATGACGGAGTACGACAACAGGGGCTTCCACATTGTGGGCTACTTCTCAAAGGTAAACGAGATGGTGGTATTTTGTGTGCAAAGACTCGTGGACTGTATAAATGAGTTACAAGTCATACTGTGGACTTCTTCCCAAGAACCATGGAAGGACTGCAGTGGTTCATCAGTTGAATGAGCGGCAAAATTTTCAGTTGAATGTGCACCAACTTACAGTGTGGTTGGATGACAACAGTGCCCTACATTGTTACCTTTAATAACAGTTTCTTTCCTTTTACAACTGAGTGGAATGTCATGGCTTCAACCACTTCCTGCCGGAGCATTTATCAATGTTGATGATGCTGGGGCAGGATATTTATCATTTTTTTCTGTTTTCAAAATTCTTGAAAAATTCCTATCTTCATTTACTGGACACTTGCAAACACGTGAAGGCATGTCTGGTGTCCACTCTAGCCAGACAGACAACATCTATTGATGCTGGAGTATTTCAGCCAGGCCTGCAGCCTTGTAAAAAGAGCCCAGATTTTGTGGTGTTGCATAACATTCTTTTGATCACGAACCTGGCTCAGTGCACTGCTGACCTCTTTTCAATAGGGGTCAGATTAGCATGCAGCGGTGCTGTGTGGCTCATCGCTGCGGTGATGGAGCGCTTTTGTCCCCAGTGGTAATCCGCTCGCTCTAAATGCCCCAAACCGTAGTATACTATTTCAAAACAAGGCAGGATTATCTCCGATTTTGAGAGTGAAAAAATGTCGGTAATTCCCCGCAGCCTGGTCTTTTGTTCCGAGTACAGCCTTTTGTAACAAGGCCCTGTTCCCTTTTTCAGAGTTCGGAGTCCCCGGCAGGAAGTGGTTAATATGGGTATAAAGTTATGTCACACAGCGTTCCCGATCTCATTTTCTTCGAACTCCCCCACTGTTGAACGATTTTATCGTTATCCCACTAAATTCTGGATCCAGGAGAAAGAGTCTACCGAGGACTACAACGTAGCTTGCATCCTGTCATTACCGCCATACCAGAGAAAGGGTTTTGGCAAACTGCTTATTGAATTCAGTGAGTATTCTTGCGGGTGTGTGACCCAACAGCAAAATGAGGCACAGTCACCAGAGCCACTGTCCCACTATTAAATGAATCTTGCTTCGTATGAATCGATAAGAGGAACCTCAACATCTTTCACCAATGTGCTGTTCGGCAGGATCAAACCAGTGCCTGGTTTCCTCTTTCTGTTACAAACTTTAATACAAAATTACTCAGGAAAAATTGCCATTAGATTAATTTTGTGGGGGTCCAGTTACATTTTTGCTTTAACCCAAATTAGTTTCCGCCTCTTACCATAATTGGCTCATTGTCTCATCCCCGACCGTCTCATGAATGCCAACTTTTTGGCATGGTGCAGAGTTGTCAGATACGTTGGTGTTCTGATGAACAGGATACGTCTTACTGGTCATTTACCACATCGAAGGATATAAAAATGTCTTAATTTATGATCTGTACCATGAAAATTCTCCTAAATTTAGTGTCTCAAAAACAAACCTATTCAATTTTTTTAAAGGAACATTCACACTCTATTTGAATAATATGCAAACAATTCTTGTTTTGCTGTGAATCATTTTGTAACCTCGGACTTGTTTTATTCCGTTGATTTCTTGAATGGAGGATATACCAGCATTGAATATTGGGGGAAAAACAAGGGACCTAAAGTTTGTAAAACCTTCATATTCCTTGCCTAGGCTATGTCCTATCACAGTTTGAAGGAAAGACCGGTTCCCCCGAGAAGCCACTGTCTGATTTGGGGCTTCTGTCGTATCGGAGCTACTGGTCCCAGACCATCTTGGAGACCATCCTCAAACTCCAGAAGTCAGCCGACGGAGAAAGACCTCAGATCACCATCAAGTAAGTCTTTTGCTTAATAGTGTAAACGGAATTTGTTCCTGGCTTTTTTCCCCTTTTTAACAGCAAGAGATGCGTAAACTCAATTTTATGTCGTTTGAAGGAAGGTTCCCTTTTGTAAATATTACTTGGATCAAATGTATCAAAAGCAAGCCGTTTTACCCAATTCTCTTTTCGGAGACTTGCACCATAGCTTAGAACACATGTTCAATATCAGAGCAGTGAGTCCATAACCTCGAAAAACTTGCTCTCACTTTAGTTCGTACACTTGATCTTCAACAGATTTCCTTCTATGTCAACTTGTTTATTATTTCGAGACACCCCTATTCTTTTTCCCCTTTGTTTAGGCAGTGCAAGACTGTTTCTGAAACTGCTTTAAATGTACACATACTCAATGAAATTTGATAATACTTGAGAAAAGTGGCAAAATAGATCATTTGTGTGAACCAAAAAGTCCCGTCCAAGCTCTTGTACTCATTATCTTGCACAGACTACTCCAGCAAACAGAATTAGCAGCCATTACTGTGGTGGTACCATGCTTGTGTGCAGATGGTACCCGCAAGCATGGATGATTTCCTGCCTTGTTAACCGACAGGGTGTTGTGACTTACATGCGCACACCCTACATCTAAGAATGCGTACAAGTGTGGTACCTCTGCAGCTGTGACATCTCCTGGGTTGAGTCTGTACATGAACTTGTACCCTAAGAAGTTCCCTTGTGCTGAGGGCTAAACCCGAGTCACTGAAGTAAGGCAGTGAACGAAACGTGAAACTCAGTGTTTGGTGGGTCATCTCTGTCCCATCCAGTGAGATCTGTGAGACGACCAGCATCCGCAAGGAGGACGTGATCTCCACCCTGCAGCACCTGAACCTCATCAACTACTACAAAGGCCAGTACATCGTCACACTGTCACCGGAGGTCATCGAAGGGCAGGAGAAGGCCATGGTCAAGCGCAAGATCAGGATCGATCCCAAGTGCCTGCACTGGAATCCCAAGGACTGGTCCAAGCGGGGCAAGTGGTGAAGACTGGCAAGCTCTGCAAGGGCTGGCCCTGGGCCTGACAGAGCTGCTATGCGCAGAAACATGCTAGGCTCAGAAAACACTTGTTCAGCAGACATGGGTTACCAGCCAATCCATCACACACTCGGATGTTTCTTGTAGCTGGTTCCCAGTCGGTCTTTGCTTTGCAGCATAGCATATGTTTGCTATTAAGCAGATGAAATTGGCCCCCAGCCGGTCCCAAGGTCAGCAAGGACTGGCGATTCCCTGGCGCCTGCGATGTCCTCGGTTGCTGGTTCTTCCTTCCCACCATTCTCATCAGCGGAGCAAAGATGCGGGCAGGGTGGTAGCTTGCAGTAAATGTTAGTGTGTGTGTGTGTAAATATTGAACTTAACATCTGTCCTGTGGGGCTGTATTGATTCTATCTATCTTAGAACATGAAGGAGGTCACTTGGAACACCACTGATGACTTTTTAACCAGCTCTCTCCACTCTTCTTGACTCTCCACTGCCTCTGAGAATCAGCAAACTCCAAACCAGTTCACCCTTTGCGGTGATCACATACGCCAGATCTTCAGAATCCAAGAAGGGGTGCTTTTTCCTATGTACCCAAAGGTGTATTTTCTTTTTTGATCTTGGAACCGAGGCTAGGCTGATCGGGGCTTTGGACTTGTCAAGAAAAGAGGGGGTTGTGTGACCTAAATCAGTGTTGTGGCGGAGACTCCTTAAGACCTTCACAAGACTAACACAAGATCCCCAGTCTGAATTCAAGTTGGAAGCCATTCAGGTGAACTGCAACAAAAACATTCCTTTGTCAATGTTCAAGCAGTTACTCTTGGCTGGTCTTGTACCTGGTCTTGTGACGGTCTCAATTACAACACTGGACCTGATGCTGGTTCCAACTCTGTACGCAGCAAGATATGGGACGGAGGGGTACCCCCCTTACCTGTCCAATCCCTAGACACACTCTAGAGTATTGTTACCTAACACATCCCCCCAGAAGTCTGTAAAGAATTCCTGAGATTCCGATCAAACAATGACCAACACAAAGGTGAGGGGGAGTGCTCTCCATCCCATATCTTGCTTCATATGTATAACACTAAAGCTGGTTTACCTTTTGTAAAAGGGAGAATGCAGCATTGAAAAGGTGTTAATTGGAGGTTTACTTCAAGGTTTTATGAGGTGTAAAATGGTTTTGTTGGATGTCTCAGGATATAAGTTCAACTTTTCTCCCTTAAATTTCTTTCTTTCCTAATCTGCCTGTATGTCTCTGGACATCTAAGAAGAATAGAAAATAATTACGAGAAATCCGAATGTTGGATAAATTTTCACCCAATTTTTGTTGTATTTGACGGATACGTGTGTGATGACAAACTTGTTTATGCAAGGCTGGTCACATACCGGTAGATACTCTCTCTCAAACATGTCAAGCTTAAAAAGTCCTCTGGCCGCCAAGTTGTTCTTCTCATTTTACATCAAGTCACTGTCATCAAATCTCAGCCAAGCCGGGTTTAATACTAGTGATCTTCCAACTGAGGAATAGAAATGTTCATGTGTGTTTGTCTATTTAAAATCAAACTGTGGCACATTGTAATTATTAGTATCATTGTCATTATTATAAAACGATGAAACAGGCAGAGTAACTAAAGCATAAAAGCTATAAGTTGCCGTCCAGCAACCCACACAAACCTGAAGCGTCAAGTAAAAGCATGTAGAAATAAAGTCGTACACGAGATAAATTATGATCCTATGAAAGGAGGAAGTCATTTGCCTTCTCTGGAAACTGAAACAAAGCTCTCCATCCACAGGGTAAATAACTACTTGTATCTTTAAACATACGACTTGTAACAAGGATTGAGTGTAGCTGCTGTAAGTGGAACAGGCTCCCAATTATGGAGCCTCTTTGCCGGGGAGGGGGGAAGAGTCTTTGGAGAACATGAATCACCGAAAACGATGAATTACTATGCACAAAGAAACTGACACATCACACAGGCATTTCCGCTGCATGTGTTTTTTGCATTGCCTGTATTGGGGGGGGGTCGTTGGTGATTGTGTATGCAGGACTGGATGGCAGCTGAAATGGGCATCCAAAACCTGCCATGTTTTATGGTGTTTACATGGTTGGCTTACTGCCAAGATGTTGGATGCTCTGTTCAATGTCTTGCAGCCAGTTGGAGTGACTCAGCCAAATGTCCAAGATACACGCCGATCTGTGTTGTCATTTGGGAGGTAGGTTGATATGCATTACAGAACACCATCCTTAGGTGTAATGGGGAAAGGCCTCTCAGATCTTCAGTAAACCAGCTGGCATTATGCGAGATATGTCCAATTACAGATTCAATCACTTTGGAATTTTTGCACCGTAGATGGAGTAATGGACATTGGTGGCAATGAGTCCCACTGACAAAGTAGAACAACCATCCCAGGGGACAAGGGAATATGCATGTGTATATGATGTAAAAATGTAGTGTGCTGCTACTTTCAACAAGTCATGTTCATGTCTGTCAATAAAACTAACTTGACATCCGGGGCAGGAAATTTTGGAGTTTGTTGTGACCTTCATTGATCTTTGAGTCATCATTTTTCAATGCCAAAAGGGCACAAGGTTCGTGATTGCACATGGTACCCATGAGATATGAAACATCACTTCAAGTCCTTGTACTCATTCCACCATCTTTCAACAATAAAAACAGTCCCCGGTAACAAGATGCCTGTCAAGACATGCGTTTATGAGCAAAGTAAATACAACACACACGTACAGGAATGCTGGCTGTTGCACAAAATAACATTACGGTCTTGCAAAATTCAGAGCACCTCAAGTATGTCCTTACTGAACTCTTCCAACACAGATGGAACACTGACATCTTCCACGCTGCTGTTTTAACGCGCATCTTTAAAAGATGTTAATGCATAGCATGTGAGCGAATGAACCAACAAGAATCAAACTATTCAACTGTTTTTTAATAAAAATTGCGCTCCATCTGAAACATGAAACTATAATAAATATGCCTTGTATAATTTGACATTAAATAGTAAAGTCAAATTTACTTTTTGACCCCAATATACAACATAACACTATATACTAGTAATATTTCACAACACCTCCAAATAGTTTTTACCTGTAGGTAAAGATTTTAGTCAAAAGAGAAGGGAGCAATATTAACCTGCAATCTCACGAACATACTCTATATATTATATATGTGACGATGTTCCACAGATTTGTTGAATAAATATATCTAACCCTACATTTGGTTTCAGCTTTTCAAACAATACATCAACTTGCAGCACAGCATCAGAAAACTGAACTGGATTGTTTCAATTTCATGGCTGAACCTGAGGCAGTTCTGCATACCCATTATGCAAACAGAAGGCAAACACACAAATCACAGGCATTTGTGTAACCCCTGAGGCAGCTAAGAGACATTACAGGCTGATGATGCTTTTAGTAATGACATTTGATTTCGGTTAACCAGGAACAAGAATGCTTGTTCATTGCAGCAATTTCCATGATATCATTTCAGTTATCAAAGGCTATTAGTATTTCACAATGAACTTGTCCAGGATGCAATAAATACCTACTTTTAAAAATGACAAGTTTCGAAGACTGCAGTCCTTTACAAAATGCTGGCCCTTGGTGGTCATTTGTTTAACGTGCAAAAATTTCATACCACATCATTACTTTTGTTAACATCCAAGACAGTGTCACTGAGTGATATATGCTACGTTAAGCTGTGGCTTACGACTGAATCAGGGTTCCAGGCATCCTCAACCTCCACAAACTAGATACAGTCTCCATGAATGTACAGACACAATGGGTACAACTCAAGTATAGAAACGAGTATAGATCTTCTACTACGTAGGAAATCTGCCAAGACTGGTTTAAAAGTCCTCCGGGTAATCCTGTGTGTTTACAAGTCTTCCAGCATGAAGAGGTTGAAATACAAAGTGCACCCAGCATTGTATCACCAAACTTCATTTCTTTAGCTTCTTGTAACACTAGAACCCCCCCCCATTTTTTCTGTCGGTTCAAGATGCCAGCTTGAGGACCAGTCGCTCTTACCGGTGACATCCTGAGTGAACATTTGGAACTACCAGTCAGTGGGACCAGTATCACGTGACTGACCGTGGTCGGTACAGCTTGGATGGAGTTGGCTGGGAGGCCTTATTGCAGACACAGAATTGTAGGGGCACTCGCCTGTCCCAGCACACATCGTAAGGCTGATAGAGCGTAATCTGTCTGACCTGTGAATGAAGGAGACATCAATGTTAACATCTTCAGCAAATTCAGTTCCTAAACAGTTGAGGAGGGAAGCCAATTTAAGTGGAACGATTGCCATTGCACTCCCCAACAGCGCTAAGATACCTCACGTTCATGCATATGCGTTGTGGGCCAACTGGCACCTTTTGAAAAATACTGAAGTATAAGAATACACTCTGAATTTGGGTCACAAAGATATCCAAAGTCTTTCCAACACAAACTAAGGAGAAGCATGTTAACTCTGAGAACATCCTAAAGTACCTATAGAAATGTGAATTATTGATGTGCTTATGAAAAAGCAAAAGCTCAGTTAGTGATGTTAACTTCAAACCACGTCAATACTATTTCACATATATTTAGACCACTTCCCCTTATTGTTTCACTGAATGCAGGCTTTGCTTTAACATGTAAGCAAACTGCTGCCAGTATAGAGGAATCCGACGAGATGCCACTCCGAGGGGCCGTTTACACTCACGCAGCTGTCTCAACCTGAGAGAGCACATGCGCACTTCGGCTATTGAGTGCGGCCTATTAGTCAAGGAGTAATTTGCACGCGCGCGCGCCGCCTGCATGCAAATAGGATGGCCCCTAGTAATGGCTTCTAATTTTGGTTGTCCGATTTGTTTATGCCTCATCATCTCCAGCCACAATTGTTAAATGTAAAACCTCGGGAAATAAACTCGAAGACAAGTCATTTTCTGTTTTTTTGGCAAGGAATCTATGAAACCCGCTCACCCGCTTTATATCCATGTCACTGTCCATTACAACCGACCACACCGTGTCTTCCTCAATCGTCTGGAAGGTCAAGCGGTAGACATAATGCCGAGCGGAATGCAAGTCCTCGTCTTTATTCTCGTTGACCACGACACTGAGGATCCGCCTGAGATGGAGGTCTAGGCAGGAGGTCCTTGCATCCCCCAAGGCACTGGTGTCCGAGGACTGTAGCCACTTGAGGCTGTGCATGGCGTTGATGTATCCCAGTGTCTTCTGGACCATGGTAGTGTGCCTCGGAGTCCAATGTGATTCAGGCAGTTTCTGACAGCAGAAGATTTAACAGGTTTTCCTTTAAAATACCACGTTGGTGTGATTTTTAGTGCCAGAGGGCTACAGCTTTTTTTATTTTTGGGCAAATTTGAATAGAGATGGTCACTGCGTAATTATAACCCTGTATATCTGCAAAGAATCATTGATTTCGGTATTTTTCAGGAAGTGGTGCCTTGGATCTTATCTTTACCTGCATAAAGCCACATACGCATGTCCAAGGTGGGATGTTGGCCTGCTCGCAGGAACGTTCTTGGGGGATCACCTCGGTGAAGACATTGACAGCCTTGGAAGCGATGGCCCCGTCCACTTCACCCATATTAGGATAATGGAGGAGGGACTTCATGCTCAGATGCAAATCAGCGTGGACCTTGTAAGGACAAAGTTATTACAATCAAGTGGAACTGTGCTGACAAACATGTACAGCGATGCTTTTTGCAAAGTTGAAATTGGGATATCCAGTAAAACAATCAGAGTCACCATATTACATCACTTTCTCCAACTCTGTTCATCCCAATCTGTACACACTTTTAAACAAACTGGAAAATACATGGGTTCTGAGAATATTTCTTCATATTGTTTCCTCCATGAAACAAAGGCATTGGACCTTTAATTTTCTTGAATTTGACGATTCTGGGATGTAAAATAAAACAGTGAGACTGATTAACTTTGCAAAATACGGATAAGAAACTGTGACAGAATTGAAGGCAAAATTCAAAACTAAGTCAACAATGAAATCCACAACTTTTTCTTGTTTACCAGAAGAAAAATAAAATTGAAAAGTCACTGAGGGCTTAACGTTACCATATATCGTTGCTGGTTGTCTATGAGGTTTGCCATGATATCAGGCCGCTCTCTTAGAAGCCAGGTTGGCATGAGGACAGAGAGAAACGGTAGCAGTGTCTCGTAGTAGCTGCCAAGGTGGGAGGGGTTCTTATGCAGTGGTTTGCCATGATCTCCTAAAATAAACTGGGACCAAAATTGCAAAAATCGCGCTGAAGAACCTGACACATCCATGATCTTGATTGCTTAGTTTGAACAGTCTTATGTTGCTTGGCCATTGTGTTGATTGGATGCTGATGGATTGGTTGGGTTGTTGATTGTTACAAAGATTTGTTTGTTGGTTGTTCAGTCATTAATAATGGACACTCTGGGTTCTTCAGCTGACCAACAGTGTACAAATCTTGTCAGTGGCAAAATGCCTCAAGTCATTTGTTGTAATTCTCTTCAATACTGATTTCTTATTATGATTTCTTCTGGTTGGACAATGGAACATTCTGAACTAACCACGACCAGGTCCCTGTTTTCCTTCAACACATCTTCCAAGAAGACTGCCAGTTCCGCATCCACTTGGTTGCCTGATTCTGTCTCTCCCCTGGTGGAAGGCCCAAATTAAGCACAAAAACAAAAGTAGAAAGCAGATTACAGTCCAGCTGCTTCGCTACGTCTGTCCTTAGGTAAGGCTGCACTTTGAGGAAACAAGAAACTTTCTGAATGGCAGAGTAAGCCACTTTTTGTGCCATGTACAAATAATACTGTCGTGAATAAAGTGCAGAATGTAGCAATCTACCGGTACTTCTAACAAATATGTGAGGTAAGTGAGAATGGTCTATTCGTATAGTATGAAAAGCGGCATTAGAATCCAGCAGTGAGCTTGTGACTTAATCGTCTCATTTGGTGAGAGGAGTACGTTGAGGTCATTTCCTTGGGTTCACTTTGTTGATTTCTCCATCTTGCTCTGTAAAGCACATTGGGTAAAATGCTGAATAGCCATTGTGATCTTCAAGCAAACATGATTCCTGCTGCACATGATGTAACATGACGATGTTACACTTTGTTTCCATGTGCCCTTCCCCTGGCAGTGAGGTGGAACACGACTCATCAAGCTTCCTTAGGAAAGCACACATGTGAACAAAGCATGTCGCCATCATGTTTTAGGTCTATTTTGTCGGTTAATTTTTTTTTTCAAAAATGAACAAAACAAGCACACAATACTTGGTGCTAGAAAATCATTTTGGGAGGAAAATGTTTTTGCATTGTATTGTTCTGATATTTGGCCTCACCTGTGCCCTGCGTTCAAATCCAGTGCGGCCCACTTGGCTGGATAGGGGTGTTTCAGGAAATCCCTGGTGTAGTTGAGAATGTACTCATGCAGCATATGGTTGCCATCACACAGACCAGACAGGACGTTGGGCCTCACCTGCAGCAAATTGGAAGCAACTCAATCAGCTTTTCCTGTCCTGCCAATTTTTTTTTGACTCCCTATTCATTTCTACCTATAACCCTCATTTCGAACACAATCAGAAGGCTCCAGATGGGTCTCCTTCATTCATGGTAGCCGATCCAGGTTTACTGCACTACAGGAATACCTAGGGAAAGTGAAAAAGGATCATGGCCAACTGTGTTGAATTTCATACCTCTACTTGAATGAATTTGGATCAACTACTGAAACAAAAGTGCTGAATCATTAAACAGACTTCATTACAGCATGACGCGATACAGATTGTCAGGAAAATGAGTGACTTTTCTGTTCCTTCCCTGTTTAAAATTGAAACAATTCTAGCTATTCACCATGAACTTTGGACCATATGCACTTATTTCAACCCCTTCCACACTCTGCAACACTGATCCCCAATCTGCACTGGGCATCATTCTGCCCCTTGAAAAAGACGCATTACCTGTTCATTCTCTCTCTTTTGCCAGCCATGCTCGACATGTGGCAGTACCGGAGGTCGATAATGACAAGCCTTGAAGAATCACAAAAAGGAAAACAGAAATGACAAAATATTAATCTCAGTAATTTGAATTTTGAAAGGTCATCTTGCCTTTCTGTCCCCTAAACTTTTCAGGGGAAAAACAATTTCTCGAAACTGTTTCCAAAATTGTACAAACTGTTTTGGCTATGGGGGGTCGGGTTGGGTATAAAAAATCTTTTGAACTGGTGTTTTACATCCGGTTACCATGTACATGTATACGGTTTTACAAATTCAAACAGAGCAGAGCGTTACTGTTGTTCTTTATTGTGGAACCTAAATGTAAAACACATCATTGTATTATTGCTCTTTTATTGTTCAAATTAATCTCTGTATTGCTCTTTTTCTCTTTTTATTGTTCAAGTAGGTCTTTGTATTATTCAAATTGCTCTTTTTATTGTTCAATTTGCTCTTTGTATTATTCCAACTGCTTTTTTTATAGTTCAAATTGTTATTTTCATTGCTCAAACGGCTCTTTGTATTATTCAAATTGTTCTTTCCTTGCTCAAATGGCTCTTTTTATTATTCAAATTGTTCTTTTTATTGCTCTTTTGCTCTTTTTATTGTTCAAATTGTTCTTTTCATTGCTCAAACGGCTCTTTGTATTATTCAAATTGTTCTCTTTATTGCTCTTTTGCTCTTTTTACTGTTCAAGCTGCTCTTTGTATTATTCAAATTGCTCTTTTTATTATTCAAATTGTTCTTTTTATTGCTCTTTTTCTCTTTTATTATTCAAATAGGTCTTTTTATTGCTCATTTTGCTCTTTCTATTGTTCAAAGTTTTCTGGTTAGACGGGCTTCACTACTTTCGATTCAAGGCTCGGTCCACATGTGGATTGGGTTTTCTGTCCAAACTCGATTCCGTGGGTTTCACTCAGAATATTCCTCTGGGGTTTTCCTCCCACCTCTTAAACTGTAACTGCTTCTCATTGTCTACTCTTTACAGGTTTCTTCAAGCTTGCGAGCTACAGTGCCTACGGTGCTATTGAAGAGTCATTACCGGGAAAAGAAACCAATAATAATAATGATAACAATAATAATAGCCCCCTTGTTCAAAAACCTTCTGCCTGTGAACTAATTGGCTGCATTTTCTAAAAGACAAAAATGACAATTATCTCGATGGTACTCCAAATTGAGCAAAATATTCAAACATTTGCCATGTCTGTGGTTGATATAGAAAGAAAAGGTTCCAAATCATGTCAGATTTCCTTGCCGTGCAAAAGGCAATCCTTTCCATTTTGGGGACAGTGGCATAACTAAAGGGGGACACGGGGGCACATGCCCCCCAGTGGATGTCCCTGCCCCTGGGTACCCCATCCTTCCACCCCATTCGAAATCTGTGACTTGTCTCTGTTGAAATGCAGCTGCAGTTTATTTTCTTCTGGTGCCCCTTTAAAAAAATGTGAGCACTGCCGAGTGCCCCCTGGGACATTTAGCCCTGTACCCGAGTGTCCCATGGGACATTTAGCCCAGTACCTTACAGTGAGTCCTGGTACCCATCAAACCGCTGTTGTTGTCGACGCCATAGCTTGTAATGTACCCACGCTGGGCTGCATACTCCCAAATCCACTCCTTTATATCCTTTGCATAGCTATGAATGAACAATTTTACAGCACACATGAAGACACCCATGATTTGACACGATGACATTTCCAAGCATCGTTCCCTGATGACAGGACTTCCATGTAATTAGCCACTTATATCTTACTGTCAGATATCTGAGCTGCAAACAGTATTTCTGAAAATCACAGAGAGAGACTTTGAGACATCTGGTTGCAGCAAGCATACTGGTCCTTTCTGAGCACACGCGCATTGTTCTGAGCTTGCAAGCATAGTTCTGAGCACATGTGAAACTGTGAAAAAGGACCGGCACGTACGTCTGCTGCCACCAGCGTCTCAAAGTCTCCCATTAAGAATAAAAACCTCCTAAATACATCATAAGCTTACTGATTGAAATATCAAACAGTTACAACCACCGGTTTTTCTCCATGGCACCATCATTGGAACATTTCTGCTCAAAGACTGACTTGATCGTTTCACACATTACTGCAACCATCCACAGAATACAGAACAGGGAGTTCTCTACAAACTTTCAAAATGCTCATGAAAGCCTTCAAGTTGTTCACTAAAAATCTTAAACTGTGAAACTCAATTCTCTAATAATTTGTTGTCATATCAAGCTCATATTTTGATTTGTCTTTGTTTTTTGCACATGTATGTCAGTGAGAAGGCTTCGGATTTTGCTCATGGGTTCAACCTCTTGTTGATATGACACTGATGTTTTTATATTCACCTTATACTTTGGTCAATTACTATAGGCATGATTGGGACTACAATGAATTAATGTGGTACTACGTAATCAACATTTTTTGGGGGGGAGGGGCATAGACCATGATAAAAATGCCAATACAGATTTGGTAGGTTTATTATGAGGAGGGAAAGCCCCAGAATCTAGACCATGTGTGCCACTGGGTGGGATTTAATTAGACCACTGTGACTTCACCCAGAAACTAAAGGCCTGAAATGCAACACTTTGCAACCTGAGAGACGTGACAACTCTCAACCCTTCTGTTTAGATGACATCACCTTTACCACTTGCAAGAGTTATCAGACTTTCCGTTCCGGAAGGCTGCGTGTTCAGTAATTGAGGGGCCACCTGTGACATGTGGTGCGTCCTTGACAGTGAAAGCCTTGTTTCAATTAAGAGGATGCATTTAGCATGCAGTCAAGAAAACTCAGGACGTAGTTTGTTGGTTCTATATTCTTTATTGTGTGCACAGGGAGATTTTAATTAAGGTATTCATAATGACTGTTATCTTTCAATGGGTTGAACCGACACTTTACTAGGTTCCAGTTCCTTAAGTTCTGACTAATTTTCTAAATCAGCTTGATGATACATTATATAGGCAACTTTAACAGCCATGAGTCATCTTTGTGTCAATACATGTACAGGGCATATCAAAAGAAAGGAAACCCCAATTCAACCGTAATTTATAGGAAAACTGCAGATTTCCTAATGAAGCATTATATGTCTCCAGGAAGGCCTGTGTGTCTTTTTTCCAATGACACCTTGATCTTGTGCTCAATGTCACAGTTGAATGAGTAACAATGCATTGTTGACCAGCAGGTGAAATTGGCACTGTGACTCATTCAACTGTGACACTGAGCACACAATCGAGGTGTCATTGGACAGAAGACATGCAAGCCTTTCTGGAAACAAACAGGTATAACGCTTAATTAAGAAATCTGCAGTTTTCCTATAAATTACAGTCAAATTTGGGTTTCCTTTATTTTGATACGCCCTGTGTATCATGCACTCTCTTGGCCGGCCCCACTAGTGCACAAGCAACCCATGGGTACCTGCTACTTCTATTATGAGGTCATCACATCACACTGCCTACATCTGCCACTTACATGCCTCTGGCCACCTTGCCCATGTCAATGTCCTGGTAGAGCTGGCCAGAGAACAGTGGGGTGAGGTTGAGCAGGGTGGAGCTGCTGATGGCATTGAGGCGAGAGAAGAAGAAGGACTGGTGGGACATGGGTCCGTGGCCAGACGACGGCGGAATATCTAAGACAGATAAAAGATGTCTAAGCTGCTCAGCATTTTTTGCCCAGCATTACAGGCACAAGGAGTCAAGGAAAAGAAATCAAGGAAAACAAACAGAAAGAAAGCATACCAATTGGAACCATTTGATTCCCGTTTAAAATTCCAATTGATTGGGGAAAATAAACAGCAAAGAAAAAAATGCCAATTGAAACCAACTGCGTCCCATTTGAAATCTCCAACGGACGGGGGAAAATAAGTGGGAGAGAAAACATACCAACTGAAACCAAATGAGCACCAATTGATTGCCAACTGGACCCAGTTCATTCCAATTCAATCCAATTCAAAAATCAATTGGTTTGAATAGGCCATTTTTAGTAGGGCCAGCAGAAGGGAGTTCCGCTTGAGGTGCTCCTAGTTTTCATTTTAAACCAAATGGCAGTCTGCAAGATGGATCTCAGCTGTATGGGAAACATGGCCATGCTCTGATTCAAGTGTCAAACTGAAGAAGACTTTATTGCGAGGGGAGAGTAGGTAGGGCAACAATCTGCTTTTCACTTGCCTTCCTCGTTTATTCCACTTTCTTGAAAATCGCATCCCCTGGGGCCAAACCAGCCAACGCCCCAGACTAAGCAACCAAAAATCTCCAATTATACAATTACCTTGTTTGGGCACATTAAATTAAGCTCAGAATGAATCCCAGACCCATAACAGTCCAATCAATCACGCTGAAGATGTTTCTTGATACACCTGACCTGGGAAAATGTACCTAATTTATCCTCACAATGCATGTTGTGTATCAACTCAAGATATCAACTGAGGGACAATACTTATTTTTCTTTAGGGAGGGGGCAACAAACAGTTTTGATTTTCTTTCCAGTAACCTAGAAATGACAAAAACCTACCACTGAAATAGCCCCGGTAGAATTTCTTGAGCAGAGCCATAGTCTTGGGCAGGCCGCAGCTGCGATGGGCCTGTGCCCTGGACATGGAATCCAGGACCACCGTGAGAATGCAGAGGGGCTGCCAGGCCGGCTCCTGACCTTTGACCTCCCGGAGCCTCCCTTCCTGTTGTCGGTCGGCGGCCGGCTTGGGCACAAACTGGGTGTGGTAGTTGTGAAGGTCCTGCATCCTGAGCAGAAGTCATGTGAGGTGAAGTGAGGGTGACAGGTGACACATTTTATTGCCTTAATTCACATAAAATCTGCAATATCATTCTGTGACCTGGAATGAGACTCAGGCAATCGGACAGTTTAGTACAGCAAGATAACTTTCAGTCGCTCCCTGACACCAATCCCATAAATTATGACTCCTAAACAATTTCTTGTAGTGGAGAACATTTTATCCGGAATTTCTTACAAAAATTTTCTGTAGTTTGCCCTCCTCTCAAATGAGTCATCCTGCCGGCATATATCTGTACAATCACTTTGCCCAAAACGCTTATTTTTTCAAAAAATGCTTAATATTTTCAGGGGATTGTAACATCAGGCTAAGCACACAGTAGCACGTTGACCATATAAAGTTGGCTAGATGTTACAAATACCCAAGGATGCACTGAAATATTAAAATCAATTGCTGCACTCAAAGCCGACAGAAATTTTACGTTCACAGAAAACTGAAGACACACATCTTTTTAAGAATAAGCCATCCAGAACATACTTGCTGAAATGTATTTACTCCCTTCTCTCGACTGCTGAGTAGCCCCGTCCTCTCCCCATCCCCTGTCTGGCGGTCTCCTCCCCACCCTTTTGTCCTCTCTCATCCCATATCCCCTTGAAACACATTTCACAAAATCTTAATAACTTCGGTCTAGGCCAAAGCATTTTCAGCTTGCCTGCCGGGCACCCAACAAATCCAAAATCAATGAATCTCTGGAGCTGGTACAACATGTAAACAATCGCAGTCTACGCTGTAGTGCAGAGACTAGCATATTATCTGGCTTGTCAATGATATGGTGTTCTTCTGGTTGGACTGTGTTGATACTAGGGTGCAAGATCGAGCCCTTTGCACCACTGTAGAGAAACAGCCCCAGCAGGTGTGCTGCTAAAATGTCCCTGGCAGCGTGTTTGTTTTCCTGTAAAATCTGGAAGTGCACTTACTTTGTCACCAGATGATCTTTACTGTAAACTGTACCATGTGAACTTTGTCATCACTAATACTATGACAAGTGAAAAGTGCATGACCCAAAAATAAACAAATAAATAAATGCTGCAACAGTGACTGCACCGTATCTAAGAAAAACTGCCTGTGTACATGAAAACCATCCTAAAGTTGAGCATTATCAAGAATACTGCAGTGACAGATAAATTTGGATCCGCATTATAGTTTTGACTAAAATAATTGCAATTTTTAGGATTGTTGAGTTTCTCTGGATATGGAAGTTCTCTGTGTCCTCTGAGCATGCATTAGACACGGAGGATTGCTCGTATTCCCTCATGCTTTTACATCGCAGACCTCTGTCCATTACCAAGCTTATTCTTACTATATGATCCAGGTTCACTTTCAAATTTTCGACATCTTAGTTTTGGCAGTGCACCCTAATTCCCTAGGGCATGTGTAACATGATATTGAAACTGCACCAGAAGTCCTATCAGGGTGTATAACCACTGCTCATCCCTTTTCCACATGAAGCATGGAGTGTGCTAGTTTATGAGAGGGCACAAGTTCAGCTTTCCTTGCAGCGGTAGCTAGGACATGTACATGCACTTCCCAAAGCTGGGCCATAGAGTGAGTCAGTAACCCAGAATATTGAAGGATAGTTTCCTCTTAATCCAGGTAAATACCCTCTGACTGAATGGGCCAGACTATCTAATCTCTCTCCACATCAATATTATGGCTGGATCTCTAGAGGCTATGCTACAAAAGCACGTCCATGGAATAAAATCCACACCAAATCACAGGAGTAATCTCGGTGGCAAAATAGCTATAAGTCCGGACTAATCCCTGTCTTTCACAAATCGCCTTTTTTGCAGAAAGTCAATCCAGAAAAAAATCGGGTTCAGAATTAAGTTAATGCTCACAGCTATTAAATAAACACAATACTTCCACAATGGTACGGCTTTTCTGGAGGTCACCTAGTTAACTCATACTTATTTTGCATGAATTAACACTAGAATTTCAATCAGGTTTTTTTTTTTATTCAGAAGGTTTACAAAGGTTTTTCTTCTAAGTACGGACTGAACACAGGTGTTACCTACATCAGGTGTTACCTATCACCACTTAGTCTGCGGCACCACACATCCAGAAAAAAAAAATGTTTTCAAAGCCAAACAGAAAGCCAGTTTTCCTGAGCCCAAGAAAAGCCTTCAGTGGTTCCGTAAAAATGACTGGAAAAAAAAGAAATAAATCTATGTTTAATACCAGTTTTCTGGTAGCATGCATGCATTAAAAATATGGCAACCAAGCAATCTTGCAATCAGTACATGAAGCAATATTCCAACAATGGCTGCTTTGGAAACATTTTTACAATTTGAACAGGTACCCTGACTCCTCTCAGTTTTGCTTCAACCAGTGATCTTTGGTTTTTTTTCATTTTGTTTCAAGTCAAAAGAGACTGCTCCCATTCAACCATTTGACTGCTCTTAACTGCAATAGTGAATGCTTGTTTGATTTGTGGGGGGTTAGCCTCAAACTAAAAGCAGTCTTATACTGCTAATTCTTCATTTACCTACTTTTTATTTTTGCAGACCACATCGGCATACTCTGTTTCCATAGCAATCTCCTGGGGTCCTTGGTAGTACTTCCAAACAGCCTTCCGTCGGTAGCTGCCCCTAGACACAATTTCCTCCGACTCAGTTCGGTCGACCTGGTTGACCCGGAATCTGCCTGGGCATTTGACTGTAATATTCCTGTGATGCAATCATGCCCCAAAAAATAGAAGATTCATGTAAGTCCTTTCATCTGAAGACAGAAAAAAATCTTCTGAAAATGAAAAAAGGATTTCAGGGGGAGAACCCCTCCTTCTTTTGTTGGGTTAGATTATCCCCCCCCCTTTGCAATGTAATTAACATAGTAACCATGTCCACACCAATTCATATAAACAGGAAAAAAGGGTTTGTTTGCCCATTTGCATCTCCTTTTTTAGGTTAACAAAATTAGGCTATGACAACACCAGTAATGTGATTTAGGAATATTTTTAACTTGGTAATCAACGCTATCATTGCTTATTATCAGTAGCAGATGAAGATAGTTTCCCTCCTAGGTACCTCTTCCTTCTGCAATCAACTAACAATTTTATAATAAAAAAAACCACTATTACAATAATTATGCACCTTCATTTGAGGGCCCCTTGCTGAAAATGCTGAATCTGCCAATGACCATCCTGGTTTTGCATAATTCATTATGCATTAATTGCCATTTTTCTATCAGCAGTTTCCAGCCCTTTGCACTCTGCCACCCTGCTCTATCCCTCTCCAGCTCAAAAAGTCATTTGCAGAGAGAGGCAACCCCTTTACAATCTCCCCTCTTACAATTTTCTGGTACTGCTTGCCACGCCCACAATACTCTAGGACCTATGTGTCACGGCTCCATTTTCAGTGACACTTTTCAGCTCCAGTTCTCTGTCAAGAAATTTGCCAACAGTGGTCTAGCTGTGACAATCCACTCAGTTTTGTCAGCAATGTCAAAAGTTCAGCTAGGCCTGCAATGAACAGACTACAAGTTTGCACCACCTGCCCGTTCACACCTGTTTTGTCAAACATTCTGCACACCGGTATCCAAATATTTCAGCAGGAAATTTTAAATTAGGATGGAAATGGTTCAAATGGTGTGTGAAAAACAACTTGCCCTGGACAACTCTAGTACCGGTAATTGACAACAAAAGAAAGAAAAGACAACAGAGCAAAATACAACTTTGGAATGTCTTAAAGGAAAATTTCTACAAAGTAGGATTTCCATCAAAACATAGAAGGCCTATGAAACTGCGTGACTGAAAATGTGATATCACAGATGCTATATGCAGTTTAAATTATTTTTGTTTACAAATAGTTTTCACTGTTCCCATTATTTCAGTTAATTCAGTGCCCATTTTGTAATGACTGATGAACAATATCTCAACTCAAAAACCCACCTCTTGGCGAGCTTTTCCTGACTTACTGTGCACAAGTCCACAAGCTTCTGTTTGATTATTTTTCAGGATTCTCCTTTCAGAGACTCAAGATTCAGTTCCTGTCTTTCAGTAGCATTTCAGACGCCCGGTGTCTCCCAGCTGTTTGTGTGGACATAAATCTGACCATGGCCTTAGACTTGGACATATTTAGGGAAACAAATGTAGTTTATTGGCACTGAACTTTCTGAAACAAGCCCTGGCAGACAAGGTAACAGCTGGCAAAACAGGAACAATCCAATTACAGCTAGACTTGGTTAAAACTTCAGCTGTGTGTTTGGTCCCCCCCCCATCCAGCGTGAAATAGAGGGGAAGAGGAAGCAAAGTCCGGATTAGGAGTAGGGGAAAGATCTGGTGTAAGAGATCCAGGCCTGTAATCCATCGACGCAATTCACGTAATGGAGACCAAAACCAGAGACCTACAGGCACGTCTTTTTAAAATGTACATGGATATGCAGACTGTGTCCTGTCAGGCACTAAACTACCACGTAACTGGTTACTGCCACGAAAATCCATCACAAGTCCCTGCGAGTCTCTACAAGTCCTTGTGTTTTATTCCTCCGTGCCTGAACAACCATCCAGCAGCAAGCCAAATCAAAAGGTTTATCCAAATCCAACTGTGACACAAGCATTCGTCCGTCACTCTTCACCCTACTTTCAACTCTGCTAAGAGCCAGGAAGGACTTGAGATATCTTTAAACACAAAGCAATTAAGGAAGAGCCAAGGGACAATCCCACTTAGAAAAAATAACATCTGAACCCTACATGCGTAAAAGACAAAAAGGGAAGAAAACAGGACTGAAAGGAGCAATGGACAGGAAGCACACAAGACCTCGGATTAAGATTTGAATTGGTGTGAATTGAGCAAGAATAAACCCCAACAATGACTGACAGAACCAGTGCCAGATGGTTTCAAAAAACCCCACTACCACAACCCTCACTTTTGGTAGAAACTACACCAGCCTACACATAAAAATGTGGGGGCTTTTTAAAACTAATAGTTTCGGTGCATAGGTAACAGATGCTGCAATCCTAGACAAAATTGTTGGGACTCGTGTCAATAGCCATACCCTTTCCAGATCCCCCGCTCCCCTGGTCAATGTTGTCATGTCTCGCTGGTGCGCAGACCGCGCACTGAGACCCAACATTGAGAGGGGGCTGGGGTGGGGGGACCAATGAGATTTGTCCAGGATTGTAGCACTGTTGTCTTTCTTGTGCACTGCCTCCTCGAACTTAAATACAAAAACTTGGAAACACAAAAACATGCTCACATAAAAAAAGAAAAGTAAATGCTACAGACTATAATTTGCCAAGTGTTACAAGCGTAACTCAAAAAGTCCAAGGAAAGCGGTGTCCAGTGACTACAAAACCATCTAAGGATGGCATTTTGGCTTCAATGCTTAGAGGGCTTTATGTAGATAGGTAAAGTCCATGGGCAATACTGTACCCCCTGGCTAGGTTATGCCCTCCACTGAGCCGTGCAGGTGCAGCTGCTGAGCCCTGATTGGGCAAGCTTAACTCTTAGGGGGTGGTCATCCGGCCAAACAGTGGGGACAAATGTAATCAGGGACAGGGCATCTGGTCCTTGGTAAGCCTGATGAATGAGAACCTGCCTAGCCCTGCCAGCTAGGCTATCAAATGAACTCACACATGTGACCAAGTTGAAACTGGACATCCAGGCACCAGGGCCTGTAATTGGAAGTGAGCTGTGCAATGGTGTTCAAGGTGTCAGTTCCAGCATAGGGCAAAGAATTGGTTCCCTACAGAGACACGTCAGTCAATTATGGTGATGAATCGTGTACACAGATTGTGATGAGAGTGTACATTATTGGATAAATTGGGCTGGAGTTTACAGACCATTTACTGCAGGCGGAGCTTGGGTCCTATACCATCGCCATATTGACTGTTCCATGACTGCTCAGTTTAAAACCTGGCATGCATTTCAAGGTACTCATAAGTACATCTGTGAAAGTGTCAGTTCAATCCAATGTAGGGTTTTGTTGCAGGGTTCCTATAAGAATATGAGAACCAAGTTCTTCAATGACATTTCCAGGTCTTCCCAGGACTCAAATATGACAATTGCCATGACATTTAAAGCCATTTTGCAGAAAAAAAGTTGTTTGGTATTACCAACTAGAAGACTGCCATAACCATTATGGTAGAATGACAAAAAGAGCTTAAATTTCTCCATGCATTATCACTTCAGTGATAGCCAATCAAAAACAAGGGCAGAGGGGGGGCCAATGGGGGATATATTTAGCTCCTCTCCCCCAAAAAAATTCAAAGAGGATTTTTTTTAATCAGTCAGAGTGAAGATATTAAGTGTCTTAAATGAAGGTTGTTTTGTATGGAGAAAGCCCTTCGTTAAGGAAATTGTTTCTGAGCAGATGTTTAATTGTGACTGGTGTGATAACTTAATGCAAAAGTGCACCAGGGATGCTGCTAACTTGGTTTGGTGTCCCCCCCCCCAAAAAAAAGAATTTGGGTCTGGATCTGGCCTTGATCAAAAATAATCCTTGCATGATCTTGATTCCTGTGCCATTTCCACGGCTGCGTCCCTCTGACAACAGGATTCCAAGACACTCAATTATTTCCCCACTTGTCCGTGACTTTCCAAGAAAATTTGCAGAAATTTTTCCACGGCCATGGGAGTCCTGTGTGGTCATGTTTACTTAACGTTCCTGTCCTCAACTGCATTTGAGATGGACATATATGTCAAATATACATGTATATAAATAAGATAGACCACACTGGATCAATTTTTTCATGTCCAAGAGTTTGCTTTACAACTGAAGTCAACTTCTCCCTGCAGGAATGTTTCCATATCTCTAGGGTCCTGCTGTTTCTGCCACAAATCCATTAGTGCTTCACCCCAGCAAAGCTGGTACCAGTTATTTGTCCATATTTAATTTCAGCCAGATGCTTCAAATAGACCGTGAAAATGTTGGTACTTAAAGAAAAACGAAGCATTGAAGCAAAGAGAAATTCCAAGGACCCATCACAGAAAAATATGCCGAGGGAAATAAACAGAGAACAAAGAGAAAAGTGCCAAGGGAAGCATATCCTTGGTTTGTCTGGTCATCTTTCTGATGTTTTGGTATTTTGTCCTTCTGTGCAATCTGACTGGGATTTTTCTGTAGCAAATGTAATGCTAAAAGAAATTGTAACAATGAAAACCTAGTGTACTGTACTACACGTACACAACCCTGAGTGCTGGGGGGAGTTATGGGAGATGAGCGGCTCACCCCCTGGAAAATTTGAACAAGAAGAAAGAGGGAAAGCGAAAAAAAAAATAAAAAGGGGAAGGAAATTGGTTGGAAGTCACCAATCTGCTTGATAGCAATTGATAAACTGCCTCACATCCTTGTATCATGAAACAATCGCAGATAATGACAACACATTGAGATTTTTAAACAAATATTATGTTGTCGCCTTTTTGAAATAATAATTTTCATTTGCATTTGGGAAGCAGCTTGCTTCAGTTCATAGTTCTGAAATACCGATGAGTGGAATGAAAATGTGTTGCTGTAAGATATCTTAATTCTTGTCTCCTCCCCAGTGGCATAGCCAGGGGGGTGGGGGGCATGTGTCCCCTCACAAATTCCCAGTGCCCCCCCCAGGTGCCCCCCACTGGAAAAAAAACGGAGAAATAGATACTGAACAAGGGTAACAAAAACTTACCCCCAAAAAACACACTACTGAAAGCTGGTGCCCCTCATAAGATGCTGGTGCCCCTTCCTGCCCCCCACCCCACCAGTAAAATCCTAGCTACGCCACTGTCCCTCCCATTTCCGCCACCATGTTATATTATATGTGTTGTGGTTGATAAAGTTTACCTACAAGGCAACAAAGCAAGCATCCATGAAGTTCCACATGAAAGCCTACCTGGTGGAGGGATTGTATGAGGAGAAAGCAGGGACCATGTTACACTCCCATCCTATCTCATCCCTGCACATTTGGGCTGGTGCCTTCAGGTCGGGTACCTGGCAGATGCTGTCACTCTTGGGCCCCATCTCATCCAGAAACAACGTGTCTGTCATGTTTTGCAGCATCCCAAACCAACGCTTCACAGCTGAAAAACACAACGAAAGTAATTTCACATGATATGAGACTTAACAGCACTTTTCCTTTTTTTCAGTGTGGGGCCTAATTACTAGTGATGTTCTATCTTTAATCTTTAATTAATACACTGTATGTGCCAAGTCTCAGTTTAAAGAAATGAACATCACTCCCATGCAAACGTGCGTATTTTGGCTGCTACCTTATGTTTAAAGTACCAGATGGTTTGTTTTGGACTTTACATTTCGTTTTCTTCTCTTTCACTTTTGAAGAGTATCACATTTAGTTATTTAAAGCACCAGGCTCAAGAGCTCAGTCCCAGGAAAGGTAATTATAGTTGCGCACCACTGCAGTTATAAACAGAATGGAAGGTGTCTAACCTTTCAGGGAAGCATTGCTGTTATCCTTGACATATCGCATTAAGATATGAACTGAATGATCAGCCTTGAGTCGGCCTACAGCCTATTTACATGTAGTTCACGTAGGTTTGAGCTTGGACTTAGGTGCAATATTTGAGTACTATTAGTGCGGCACTGAATATCAAAGCATTCAAGAGCGCTATTAAAACGTTTGACACAAACACATGGAAGTAAGGCAATCAGACTCGACTAGTCTAAGTATGTGTATACACCGCCTATTTAGTACTATGGGAAAACTGCACAGGCTGAGCAGAGTCAAAAGAGCTGGATACACAACACTCTCAGCACACAATTGTACTCCGCAGAAAGTTCTGGACTGAAGCCGCTCATAAATAAGCACCATATAATAAGAGAGACTGACTGTAATGTAATGCGGGTCAATGGGTCTGGAAGCACCATTGGTACTTGTTATCAGCACTCCAGGCCCTAGAGTCTCAACCAACAGCTCCTTACATTACCAACAGAGAGACACTTGAAGACAGCTCGAGTCAATGAAAACTGGGGGGAAAAACCTCCATTTTCTGTTGTGCTCAGCAACAAAACAGCTCCTGACCAACACGACTCGACACGGCCAAATAGCCTGATAGGCACAGATGGGAAAATTTACCTGGAATATTGGTCCCATCCTCAGTCGCTAGTTTAGTCAGTCTGCTACATGTATTATTACTGCATACTTTACCCCTCCCCGTAAACAGCCTGTCCCCTCCCTGGCAACACCCATGCTACTCATGCAGCAGGAAAAAACTCCATTGAAGCTGGAAACACCATCTGGAGAGGTGCCAGTTAGAGAAGGGCCTGTACTCCATCTAATTATTTCCAGCCTCAGTGGAATCCACTTAGGGATGAGTGGTTGAAGGAATGATCCTCTGATAGCTGCAATGTTCATGTTTACCACATCAGAAGTCCAAGCCGTTTATAAGGGGCCTGACACCACTGAACATTGGCAGTGGGTCAAGCATTCTGCTGAATAAAGTGTATGGGAATTTGAATGGGTAGCATCTGAACTGAACATCTCGTGATCTAGATCAGATTTACGAGATCTAATTTGCCACTTTAGGTGAGATAAGAGAGGAAAAAAAATCTGCTAAATGTATAAAATTCCCAAAATGCACAAAACGTCTTTATGAGCTACACTTTTAAATGGGTTAATTTTTTGGCATAAAAATATATTTTGATGAGTAGCCCCAATGCTGAGGCCAACAGTTCTCATTTAAGGTGAAGGATTGAGGAATGCTGGGGTTAAAGCTTCAAACTCAAAGCCTTTTTTGATGTTTATTTTCTGCACTTTTCCACTGGTAGCTATATTCTAACCCCTTCCATTCTTCAAGATATCTATCTGAAGAATATTTGGACCGAACAACAATGATGGTCACGAAGATATTCCCCAGCAAACAGGAAAGAAAACAAAAAAAACAAAGCTGGAATGTGGAAATCAGTAATGCTGACTATGCTTTAAAGACTTCCCAGGTTTTTGACAATCCAAATACCATGTGGTCTCCACCAAGTTTTTACAGCATCCACTGTGGGGTGGGACAAAATTACACATGCATAGGCCTACAGCCCTGGGGTCATTAAAAGGTTTAGTGAGGAAAGCAGAGGGGATTCAGGAAGTGAGAATGCCTTTATTCTGGTCTTTACCGTTCAGCAAATATCATTCAGTGTCTCCACAGATCCGGGGGGGGGGGACAATATCTGGGTCTTTACACTGCTTGAGCAAACTGTCAAATTGTTAACTAGTTCTCAAGTACCCCAGTCCCATACAAAACAACAATAAAGCCTATTCAGTCTCACATGCATAGTCCAGTACAGTTACAGCCAGCCAGCCAGCCAGCCAGCCAGCCAGCCAGCCAGCCAGCCAGCCTGCCTGCCAGCCAGCTAGCCAGCCAGCCAGCCAGCCAGCCAGCCAGCCAGCCAGCCAGCCAGCCAGCCAGCCAGCCAGCCAGCTAGCCAGCCAAAGGAATGATGAGGCATTTTCCCAGGCATGTAAAGTGTCTAGATGGAAATACCAGCCTGGATCACAGTCACAGATCCAGGCTGGAGTGCTTGCTGGTGATTTGTCTTTTCCAAAGGAAGTTGAGGCATGTACACTTACATCTGGCACTCTCCCAACCTCGATAATGTTTGACAATAAATTCACTGCGGAAGAAAACAAGCAGCAAAACGCATGTGAATACAAACTGCAATGGTGGGCCAGACACTTTGATCCTGGGAAAACTTTTCTCTTTCAGAGGGATTCTGCCATGGGGTTAAAATTTCGGGTGTTCTTTTTGTTCAAATTAAATAAAGTAATTCAAGTAAAGATTACAAACTTTTGTTTCGTTTCATCTCTTCCTTTTTATGGAAGAACCATTTAGCATTTAGGCATCATGCATCGACGGGGGATTAGAAAGAGTTCAAATCTACAGGTCTATATTCTTTTTACGTAAAGCACATTTTCGTCATTTTCATAAGGAGATGGCATGTGTCAAACCAGGGTTTGGGGAGGTGTGCCAGAGTCAATTTTACCAAATTTTAATTTGTTTGTTGACCTCATGTCAAAATTCACAAAGTGAGGAAAATGGAAATCGGTGGTAGGCTACAATTTCATGCTTCAGGAGAAGTGCTGATGGCCAATATATATCATTTTTGTACCAATTTTGGATTCATTTGCCAAACGAAGTCTACTTGCCGACTGGAATTAATTATTGGGGGTGGGGCAGACCTTCCCACATCCTCCCACGCAAACCCCCTTACTTCGCCCCTGTGTCAACTGAAAATTTACATCACATTCTTCATATCGAATTGACAGAAAGGCTCCATATTGTCTACTAAATTCTTCCTCAGTTGTTTTCCTCATTTTTCAATTTTTGAAAGGCTCCAGCTATCAACTGAATTTTTCTGTCAAGTCCTAATTAGTCCAACCACTCATTCTTGTCAATATCCCCATTCATGGGATAGCCCATTAATGATGTGGCTGGCAAGCTGTGGCTGGCAAGCTGATAACAAGGCTACATGTAATCCTTCACTCACAGCCAATTCACTGATCCAATTATAGACAACCACTCCCAATTAATCCAACTTGACAGATTTGTGGTTGGAGTCCCAGACTTTGGAAGCTACCTGTCTTACACAGCTAGCTAATTAGGAGCAACATAGGGCTGTATGCAGAGGCACAGCAACCACAAACAAGATGCGATATTTTTTTCTCACATATTTCCAGCTACTGTTGTGATCTGTTCAATGTACCAAGTAACCATGAAGAGTTGTCCTTTGGCATAAAATGCCTTTCTTAAACAAAATCTTCTTTTACCTAGTACCAGTAACTATGGGTGCAATAAGACATTTGAAAGGCCATGGCAAATAAAAACCCAGGACTGTTCCGGGCTTTCTGTCCACACTGCTGAGACAGCGTTCCCATTCCTAACAAGTTCTTTACATTTACCAGGTTTTGCTCCCATTCCTTGCTATGTTGTGGTTGTCCTACAAACAGTCAATTAAAAGTCAATTCAGACCACATCCTCAGACCAGCAGCATACCACTCACATGCATCTTTTTTCTCTCCCCACCAATGAATGTCTGCATCTTTTGGGCCTGCTGAGCACACCTCAATCACACAGTAAATCAAGCCCTCATGAAACCTAACAGTCACCCAAAGCCTGGAAGTAAATAAAAAAACAGCCTCCAGGAGAAGCCAGCCTGGTATAAAGGGATGTACTTATCCCCTTCATTCAGTATTCATGGCAGGGCTCTGGCAAGACTGGGCAACACCATAAGGATTACTTCAATTACCCCACTTGACAGATCTGTGATTTAATCCTGTGCTTCTCTAGCCTTTCGTCAAGGCCTTCGCGGGTGTGTTTATGTGTAACTGCAAAGCGGCTGGACCCAAGACCACATACACGAGTGATGCAGCCATGAGGCCTTTTCCAACTTGTCAGGAATTTCTTATGTTTTCCTTCATGTTTTCAATTTTTGCTATCCCGTTGTAGCAAATATCTCAGTCAATCATAAGCAAGGGGGTCAGCACACATTAACCTATTATGCAAATTGAAAGTATACACAAGATGGCGAGCGTGTCAAGTGTGTCGGCGGCCGTGAGTGCAGGTTAGTTGTCAGAGCAGTATTTGGACAGTTCTTTAGAGTACCAGTATGCTGCTGGAAAACTTCAGCTTGCCGAGTTTAAACCATTTCAGCGTTAGGCTATTGAAGCATCTTTACATGGGCGTGACATTTTCGTCTCTACCCACGGGACAGAGCTCCTTATTTCAAGCACTGCCGTTTGCTTGGGCCTTGATGAACTGCTAGTGTTACTCCAATGTCAGCACCATCCCCCACCAACAAGTATCATATTTGTCATCTCACGGCTTACTGCCATCATGAAAAACCAGATGGAAACATTGCGTAAGCTTTGGAGTTGATGTCGTTTATTTCAGAGACTCATCCGCTTCAACTATTTACATAAAGTTTATGAATAATGCATATCAGAAAGCTTATGAATAATTCACCACGAAAACCTCAAAATCAAGTTGGAAAAGGCCTCATGGCTGCGCCACTCGCCTGGTCTCCTGTCCAGTCACTTTGCAGTCACACACACACCCACGAAGTCCTTGATGAA